AAGGGGATGTAATTGAGGAGGGACACTTTGTCAGTAATTTTCTATTTCTAAAACAGTGGTGGGCACAAGATTCTTCTTTTATTATTTATTATTAGTCTAACTTATTCTTATATATTATATACATTCTTTACTATGTAAGATATTTCACAATGGAAAACTTATGAAAATAAACAATGCAAATACATGACTTTACAGTTATCTCTGCTAAATGGAACTTTATTAGTTTTGGTTTATTATTTCAGTTAGTAAAGACGATTTTGAATCTTAACTCCATTCTCCATTTTATTAATGACTTCCTTTGTTACTGTGTGCCTTCCACAAACTAGTATAGATCATTGTACTATTTAAAAATGTATATCCTTGAAAAATTGTGATTATTCAGTTTTAAAATTTAATTTACATTTTCCACCTCTTTTGAGATATCATTGATATATAACATATGTAAGTTTAAGGTGTACAATTTGATGATTAGATACACATATCTATTGCAAAATGATAATACCTCCATCCCCTCAGTTTTTTTTTTAAACAAGCATAATGGCAAAGTAGTTAAGAGCACAGATGCTAGATACAGAATGCTTGCATTTTAATCCTGTCATGCCATTTATACTAGCTGTGTGACTTAGATAAGTTATTAATATTCTGTCTGCCTCAGTTTCCTCATTTATAAAATGGGAATAATACTATTTACCTCACACAGTTAATGGGGAGAATTTGATTTGTTTCCATATGTAAAGTGCTTAAAATAGTGATTGGCACATAGTAAATGCTATCTAATTTTTACTTAGAATAATTTGCTTTAGTGTCTCTGATTAAATTTCTGATCTCATGAAAACTAGATTTATTCTAAGTTAAGAACTCTGGAGCCATAATACAAAATCCTGGCTTGGTTTTTAACTAGTCATGTCATCTTGGGCCTATATAATTTCATATTATGTTTGTCAATTTCCTCATCCATAAAATATGGGAGTTAAACTCAATTATATCTTTGGTCTTTTCCAGTAATCACATTTTTGATTCCTTGAAGGTATTTTTAATACTTCCTGGGAAAGGAAAAAAAAAATCAGATTTCAAGTATTTAATATGCTAACATCATTTGGATTTTAAAAAAACTAAATAACCACCTATAGAAACATGCACAAATTATAAGTACTGATTATATACACACACACACACCCAGATTGCACAGCCACCTAAGTCAAGAAACAGAACATTATCAGCACTGAAAAAACTTCCATCATTACTATTTTCCACATACTGCTTACCACACTTTTAACTGTTCTTGAACCTGATAGAAATGGAATATAATGTGTTTTTATGACTGGTTTCTTTTGTACAATATTACGGAGTGAGATTCATAGATGCTACTGTTTGTTAGCAGTGGCTCATTCATTTGAATTATGGTATTTCATTGAATGAACAATGGAATTTTACTTTATATATTGTAGTGTGGAAGGACATTGGAGATCATCCCAGGTTCTGGCTATAAAGCTGCTATGAAAGTTCTTGTACATCTTTTGGTTTACATATGAATGAATTTCTGACATACACACATGCATATATACAATCTATTTCTGTTGTACTGGAATTGCTGGGTCATAGGGTATGCATATATTCAACCTTAGTAGACATGGAAGTTTTTTAGTGTTACACATTTTAATCAACACTTAATATTGTATCTTTTTAATTTTAGCCATTCTGATGTGTGTAGTTACATCTAATTGTTTTAATGTGAATTTTCCTGTGGACTGAGGCTGAGATCTTTTCATATGTTTATTGACCATTTGGATATCCTCCTTCAAGAAAAGCTTATTGAAATATTTTGCCTTTTTTAAAAAAAATGTGATTGTGTTTTTGATGTGTCACTTAGTGTTTCAAGCACTAACACAGGTGTTGCTGTGGAAGTAATTGTATATGCTATTAAAGTCCATAATCAGTTTGCTTTAACTAGGGGAGATTACCATAAATAATCTATGTATCCCTGATTCAGTCAGTTCAAAGGCCTTAAAAGCGACTGGAACTTCCTTAAGAGAATAAAAAGTTCTGTTTGTAGATAGCAACTTTAGTCTAGCTTTGTGAGTTCTGACCTGGCCTGCCATAAAACATTCAGACTTGCTTAGTCAGCCCTGTATTCATGTACGCCAACCCTTGCAATAAATCTTAATATATCTTACTGTTTCTGCTTCTCTGGTTGAATCCTGACTGATGTAAGTGGGAAATCTTTTTCTTATTGGTTGTAGGTGCTCTTTACATACTCTGGGTAGGAGCTCTTTGTCAGTATTATGCATTACAAATATCTTCTCTCACTTTGTGATTTGCCTTTTAAATAACTTAATGGTATTTTTGGATAAAAAAGTTTCTAATTTTAATGTATAATCTATGGATCTTCTTAACTGTTAGTGCTTTTTATGTCTAAGAAATCTTTGCCCATCCTAAGGTTGTAAACATAATCCCTATGTTATCTTCTAGAAGAATTTCTTTTTCACTTTCCATATTTATATCTACATTTCACTTGGAATTGATTTTTGTGTAAGATGTGAGGTCATTTTACTAATCCTATGTAATCATTCAGTTGACACAACGTCATTTAATGGAAAAGCAAGTTTTTTCTCCTTGGCACAAAGTACCATCTTTACCCAAAATTTAAACATGTAGGTCTTTTTCTGGACTCTATTCTATTGCATTGATCTAAATATCCTTGTGAAAAAACCACACTGCAGTCAGAGAGCAGGAGATAAACCAAATTCCTGATTTTAGAAGGAGAGGAGCTATGGGTGTTGACAAGGTCAAGAAAATGAAAAAGGGAATGGAACTTGACACAAAATGGTATAGAAAGTCATTAGAGACGAGAAATGGTTGAGAGAGATCAGGGTGTTGCACTGTTCAACTCCATGAATGCTGAATTATAAATATATTGGCAAAGACTACATGGAATGGAAAACTGTGAAACTGATGCCAAATTCATCTTTGATGGGTGATATGACTTGAGAGGTCAGACTTGAGAGGGCAGGAGGTGGTAAAGTTGAATGGTTGAGCTTCTTGGAATAGAGTTTTACTAGAGAATTTTGCTAGAGAGTTCTGGAAATGCTAATAGAGAGCAAGATGCCCTCTACAATTGTCAACTCCAGGAACACTTAGTGTGAGAACAAAAATTACCCGGCAAATAGAGTAGGAAAAAAATGAATAGATGCTTATTGAACTAGAATCCAGTATTAGCAAAGAGTTCACTTGAAATGTTAATATTTAAATCATTTTGAAAAAAAAAGTTTGAATGCCTGAGCATACAAAGTATTTAGTATCATTAGTATTATATTTTCTAAGCATAATCACTATATTAAGAAGTATAGACATATACAACAGTGTGAATATTTCTCTCTTCATGAAAATATGGAGAAAAATGTTGAAATTTATTATATTTTCCCTCATACAAAGAACTACTCCAAGAACTACCTCCTTTGATTAAATGTTAGGAAAAAAATGATTCTCCAAATGAACATACAAATTATATTCTCTTATCATAGAATGAGAACATAATTTTAATGTGATACCCAATGCTTAAGCTTTTGGGAAACTGTATTTCCTAATATTTTTTCTGATTAGCTCAGACTCTGATACATGATGTTTGCTTAATAACTATGTTTATTACATAGTTTTAGTAGAAAAGGGATGAGACTTGGAGCCATAGGTATTTGGATTAAAATACCAATTTTGCTATTGTACTAGCGCTTGAGTTTGGGCAATTCGATTTCCTTCTTTGCAAAATGGGGTTTTAAAAAATATTTATTTCTCAGGGTTGTGGTGAGGTTTAAATGAGACAGTAAGTGTAAAGCACTTAGCACTGTAACCTGCATAGGGTATGAACTCAAAAAAAAGGTAACCATCATAATTTATTTACCATAATTTACTTTAGAATATCAAATCTGTATGATGCTTCCATTTTTTGGAAGTCATGTGAAAATGAAAGTTACATTGTGAAATGGCTGTATAAAAAAAGTATGAGACCAATTACTGAGAGAAATAGTTTTTTAAAATCTAGGTTTTTGAAGGTAAGTACTGAAGATTTTTAGAGTCTTTGCATTTAGCTCCCCATCTGCCAATATGGCTTGTGTCCATTCAATTCAAGAAAAATTTGGGTGCTTACTAAGTGCCAGGCACTTTTAGGACCTAGGGAGACAATGATGAATTTTTAAAAAGTCCCTTGTCCTTAAAATCTCATGGTCTAATTGAGGAAGACACAATATTAAATTTTAAGTTAACTCCCCCTTTATAGAGTCTTAATATTTATTCATAGCTTTGGGAGAAAGAAAAAAGATTTGCTTTCCTGATTTTTTTCCCAAGTCTTATCTATTGTCTCAACAGGCCACTGATTCCTACTGGTTGGAAAACTTATGGGCTTGTAGTCCATTCCCTCAGAGGAAAGTAGCTTCACAAGGAGTCACCAGCTACCAAGGGCAATGGCATTCTTTAGAGAATTAATTTTCAAAATGTTTAAATGAATGGTATCCTTTTTTTCTCCATATGAAAACCAACATATACAACACATAAAAGAAGAGCTGTCGCTCTTGTAAAGTGGATGGGAAGGTTAGGCACACTTATTATTAACTTAGAACAATTCAACAAATGATTTAATGAAAAAGGAAAGTAGTATAACCACATTTATTCACTTATTTAGAATGATTTAAACAATATTTTTCACTGTGCTTATTTTGACAAAATTTTTGACTATAATATTGAGGAATGAGATCCTAGTCATGGAAAAAATGAGACTGGCAAAAATTTATTATTTTAATTGAGTAAAGGCTGGGTCTTTCTCTTAAATGTTTCAGCCACTAGATAGACAAGTGTATAACATTAAGGGAGATTAAGTTATTTCTATAAGGCTGTTATTATTTAATATTGTATCTGTAAGGTACACATTACCATACTTCAATATGAAAAATTTCAAATGAATTTAAAAAGTCATATATTTAATCTATAAAAATATATAAAATCATTCTTACCAGGAGCCTTTTCATTTTGACTCAGAATATTGTGCGGCAGTCTTTTCCACAGGGGAACAGATTCTTCTTCAGTAGTTCTAAGTGTCACAGACTGATGATTTTCTTCATAAACAGGACTTCTTTGGGTGTAATATAATGTCCCATGTTGTTGAGCAACCTTTTGAATGCCATTTGAATGATTGATTTTTGCTGAAGTTTGGCACTCAGAAGCACAATATGGTAGAGAAGTTATCTTAGTGACTAAGCCAGAACAAATATCTGAGAGTGTAAAACTACTTTCTTGATTTTGCTGTATCAACCTGTGTTCTACTGGAAGCAAATGACTTGAATTAAAATAGTCCTGTGTCATGTTTTGGGAATTTTCAGGCATTACTGACTGATATTTAGCCACGTGTATATTTTTACTATTCCTAATATTTGGTGGATACTTAGGCGGAGGATGAGGTACAATTAGTTTACTCTGAGCTTGTAAAGATGTGTTGGCTTTGCTTGCAGACTGTGGTCGAATAACAGTGCCTTTTCTGTTTGTGTATATAAAGCCTGATTGGACTTTAGCAGATCTTGTTCTTCTAATTACTTTTGTGCCACCTCTTTCTGAATTAGCCTTCTGAATTTTAGAATCACTACTCTGTAGAGGAGATTTATTTTCCTCTTTTTCTGAGCTTGGCCAGGCTTGTTTAGCAATGTTATCACTTGAAGGTATAAAACAATTCAAAAGCACATGGTCTGTTCTAGGTCCTCCTAAAGTAGTGACATTTGTAGAGATGGAATCATCCTTAGGCTCTTTTCTATCAGCAGAATTTACAGCACAAGCAGGAACACTAATTATGTTGCTGGTAATACCACTTTTAGTTTGAATGTGGAATGGTTGAGACCGCTGTTGGGATATTTCTATTCTATTCTTCAGTGAATAATTATCTTCAGTATTTTTTTTTGTATCTCCAGTTTCATCAAACCACCTCAGTTTTTTAAGAGTCTTTGGGATTTTGGCACCTTTTCCTTTTTCTTTTGTTAATTCAATACTATCTCTGATAGCTGCTGCTTTTTCATTTCCTAACTTAAAGCCTTGGTTTATAACTAGTGCCTTAAAACAGTCATGTTCGTATTTAGATTCCTTCTTTAAAATACTTTTAAGAAACCTCACACCATTTCTCTCATAGATGTTATATTTTATTTTCTTGTGCTGACCAACTAAGTCACAATCAGAAATTACATTAGACAATGGTATTGATGTTTCAGCTATTTTCTGTTTTTTATCTTTTGAATCAGAGTTGTGAGGTATATAGGGAGCTTGAAAATCATCTGAAAATAAAAGAAAATTCGCCTTACTACAATTAAAATATTTTACTTTTTCATCTTTAACCTCTTTCAATTCCCCTAGCTTATCAGTACACTGCACTGGGTCTATTTCTTTTATATGTATATTGTTTTTGGGTAACAGCCTAGCTGATTGTGTATTAGGTGGAAAAACTAAAGGTGTTGCTGCAGATACAAGTAAAGTAGCAGGAACTGAAGCAGTTCTATTTTCTTGAGTTAATTTAGAGTATTTCTCTTGGTCTGAAAATGTAGGCATTTCCTGGGTTAGAGAATCTGGAGTGGTCCAGGCTTTGCTGAATTTAAGGGTTGGGCTCTCGGTAACTAGTGGTTTCTCCCCTTTGAATGCCCCAGAAAAGGAGTCAGTTGTTTCCATAGTGCCAGTTTCAGGGGTCTTTTTGCTTTTCTTATCTTGTACAAGGGTGGGTCGGCTATATACAAAGGCTACTGAATTATTAGTAGTATTTGTGGCTCTTTCCACATTGTCACTTGGAACAGATGGATTTTGTTCTTTACTAGTTAAACATTCACATGAAGGTACAACATTAGGTTTACTTAAAATACCTGAGAAAGGTGTGATAGTGTTATTATTTGGATCATCTAAATTTATAAGCCAATTATTTATACGTTGAGTTTTAGAGAATGACAGTTTATCTTCATCAAAGCAGCTCACATTAGTTGATTGCAGATTTGCTGATCTGAGGGAAACAGAATTCTGATGGATTGATGTGTAATGCTTCTTAAGTGTTAAATATATTTCTTCATGTTCCCCAGCCTCAAGACTGTCTATACTTGAGAGGGTTTCAGAATTTGTTATCTGCTTAACTTCATCACAAAACTTCTGAAAGAAAAAAAGAGCATTGTTTTATAGCTCAGATATTTTTAAATGCCAAAATTAATGATTCAATACGCAATTGTTACTGAGTCTTGACATCTAAAAGAGTAATAAAACTACAGTGTAAGTATATATCTACATATCTGCCCTTGGTGTAGTTCTCAGAGTAAAAAAGAGGGAGCAAAGATAATAAAGTATATTTACCTTAATTTCTATGCCTAAAATAACTACCCAATTATTCTAACCACAGTTAGAATAGTGGTTTCTTGCAGGTTTAATAACATCATGTGAAATTCTGAAAAATAGTTACTTACAAATGGTATTTTTTCTTGAAACTTTCACTGGACTTGAATGAGGCTCCTAAAAGGTGCAACCCTAATGTGAATTCCCTCCAGCTACATCTCTTTATAAAAGTTAATCTTGTGGTCTACATAGAGGTCTCCACTCTGGCTGCACATTACAACCACAAAGTGAGCTTTGTAAAAATAACTATGCCTGGACCCTGCTGAATTAATACTTGCATGGGGTCTAGGTATTGGCATTCTTTTAAAATTCCCAGGTAATTCTAATGTGGATTTAAGGTTGAAAACTATTGATTTTAATGAATCTCTTTAAGAGATTTAGCACAGTAATAATTTCCATGAATTCCATAGACATTTTCATCACTATTTCAATGGAATTTTATGGAACTTATAAATCTTCAATTAAATTTTATGATCACTTCAAAGTATAGTATTTAAAAATATTTCTAATTTCTCATACATATCTAGAATGTATTAATCTGTATCACATATATAGAAATAAATTTAAGAAAACCTTAAATTATAAATCTAGTCAAAAAGCTGAATGGACTCAAAGAAATATTGTCCCTTAATATTTGTAACAAATTTTAGAAAATTTAAATATTTTTATATTAAACAAAAATACATTTCTAGCCTAGAAATAAACTAAGAAGCTCAGAAAATCAGTTACAGAATACAAATATTTAGTTTACATATTTAATGCTTGTTTATATATTATTGATATTATTGTGAAGTTTGAAAATGATTTGTGAGAGTTCGCTATGACTAGCATTTATTACCTGCATGTCATTTCCATCAGTATTGTGATGTCTTTTTAAAGTGTTGGTCACTCAACCTAATTAGAACAAAAGAGAGCACAGATCCTTCTATGCTTGTTTTTGGAATTGAACTATTTTAATTGATAATGGAAAGGAAAACTGCTCTAGAGGTCGTCCTTTGACACTGCATCTAATGAGATGTAGAAATCTGGGTTAGAAGGTCCTTTTAGATAGTGTGATGAATGTGAATCTAAGATTTCTGTTGCCTGAGTCTGTTTGGCCTTATCGTCCAAGGTACCTCAAAAGAAGTTCAGCAATGCCTAATTTCACAAACTACATATTTTTTCCCCTAGAATTTTTCTCACCAATAAATGAAACATTTTGATTTACCTTCAAGTTTTCTTGTAAGTTATAGATATAAACTGTAATAGACTTAACATGCTGTGTGTTTTAAAATTTTTTATGTTTTTAATTCAACTTTATTGAGGTATTCTTATCTACAATATAATGTACCCATTTAAAATGTATAGTTTGATGGGTTTTTTGAAATTATTCACCCATAACCACCATACCAAAAAATATATAGAATGGTTTCATCTGCTGAAAGTCTTTCCATGTTCTTTGATGTTAATACCTACCCACCACTGACAACCACTAATCTGTTTCCTGCCACTGTAGATCTGAGTTTTCATCTGGTATCATTATCTTTCTGCCTGAAAAACTTACTACAGCATTTCTTACAGTGCAGATGCTGGTACAGTGCAGTGGTGTTCAGCTGTTGCTTGTTTGAAAATCCTGTACTTTACAAGGATATTTTAGTTGGATATAGAATTCTATGTTGATGGTTTTTTTTCTTTCTTAGAACTTTAAAAATGTTGTTTTGCTATATTCTGGATTGAAGTTAGTGTAGTTCATCTTATCTTTGTTCACCTGAATGTAATACATCTTTTTATCCTCTGGCTTAATTTAATTTTGATGTGTGTGTGTGTGTGTGTGTGCATGAGCATGTAAGTGTGTGCATACTTATCCTTCTTGGAGTTTGTTGAGTTTCTTGGATCTGTGGCTAAAAGTTTTATCAAATATGAAACATCTTCAGCCTCTGTTTCTTTCTTTTTTTTATTGAGGTATCATTGATAAACAATCTTATATTGGTTTCAAGTATACAACACAGTGGTTCATCAGTTATCTATATTATTAAATCCTCACCCCCACTAGCAGTTACTATCTGTTAACATAGGATATGTTACAGAACCATTGGATATATATTCTCCATGCTGTAGTACCATCTCCATGATCAACTCATATGGTGATGGAGAATTTTTGTGTCCTTTTATCCCCCTCATGCTCTTCACCCACCCACCCAAACCCTTCTCCCATGGTAACCACCAGTTATTTCTCAGTGTCTATGAGTCTACTGCTATTTTGTTCATTTTGTTTTGTTTTTATATTCCAAAAATGAATGAATGAAATCATCTGATATTTGTCTTTCTCTACCTGCCAGCCACAGTTTCTTTAAATATTCCCTCCCCTCTTTGTGGGATTTTTAACTAATGTATGTTAGATTGATTGATATTGCCTCACAGGTTATTAACATTCTGTTCTTTTTTTTGGTCTTTTTCCCCCAGTGTTTCAATTTGGATGATTTCTATGGCTGTGTCTTTAAACCCACTGATCTTTTTGTCTGTTATGTCTGCATTGTTAAGTCTATCCAGTGAAATTTTCATTTTGGATACTGTTTTTCAGATCTAGAAGGTCTATTTGGTTCTTTTAAAAATATCTTTACAATATGTTCATTTTTACTTTAATCCTTGAAAATATTTATAATGATGGTTTTAAATTCCTTGCCTGATAATTCTATAACCACTGTCTCTTCTGTGTATGATTACATTTGCTGATTTTTCTCCTGGTTATAGGCCTTATTTCCCTGCTTTTTCACATGTCTAATAAGTTCTGATTGAATGTTGGGCATTATGAGCATTATGTTGTATGCCTAGATCTTTGTCTTCTTCAAGAGTGTGTTAAAATTTTTTTTGACAGACAGTTGTGGGTTACCTTTGGATTTTTTTTAAAGCTTCTCCAAGAAATATGTCCAAGTGAAAAATCCATGTGATCATAGAGCTTACCTCATATTTTTCCCTTTTTTTCATGATCATATTCTGTACTCTCTTTTGTCTAATGTCTAAAAGCAGCTGCCTCATATATTTTATTCAGCATTATAGTTGTTTATGGCAGGAAGGCTCTTCATCATAGCCAGAAGTCTCCTGCTTTATTTTTTTAGCTTTGCCAATATTGCTTAGTTATTGGATGAATCAGGCCAAGGTTATGAATTTAATCTTGAGAGTAGCTTATTAAAAATCTCATAAATGTATGTAATTGCTCATGAAAAATAAAGTGCATGAACATTTCAGGAAAATCAGCCAAAATCCATACTCAATTGTGGGAAAAATGACAAAGTAAATGCTGTACTCAGATAGAATAGAATACTAAATAAGGTAAAACAGAATACAAGTTATAGATAGAATAGAAATCCATTTCTAGCTAATTGTGCCATATTTTCATTAAGAATCTGCAGTCCACATATAATTTTCAGGCTCCTTTTTATAATTCAGTCTCTATCAATGACACTTTTATTGTATTTTCACATAGCTTTCATGTTTGTCAGAAAATAACATCATAAAGCATATTTTCTAAATATGTTAGATGGAAAAAGAATAGAGGAAGCAGAGAGAAAAATAAGTAAAGTTAAAGAAAAATTAAAAAGAGTTTCTCTAGTATCTATCATGAATTTGTGTTGACTCATCCACATTCTAATCTTGGCTAATAGCAGGTATTTCCTTAGTGTAGAACACTGCAGAAATGGGACAGAGTTATTGCTAGATATTAAAATATTAACATATTTATAGTTTCATACTTGCAAAGTGCTTAGATGCTGATCTTCTAGGAGTTTCTGAGTTTCCTCCAGTTTAAGCTGGAATACATCTTTGTTAGTAGCCAAGTTTGTCCTGCTGTTTTCCTTCATTTCTTTAACACAATTGACTTTGGATAAAAGATGTTTCTGATGCTTGTGATCATTTTTTGGCAATGATGAAGGCAAGGCATTATCTATAGCTCTGTGAACCATATATAAAAAAATGTTTAGTACATTTAAATAAAGTGAACTTTATGTATACATATACTTCTTTCTGTATATAAATGACACATTCATGTAATAAGTCTGTGTATATGTGTATGTGTGTGTATGTGTCCAGATAATCACATATACGGATATTGGAGAAATATATAGACATATTGGAATGGGAATTTAAGGCAGTCAATAGAATAAAAATGGTTGTGGGATTATAGTTCCAATAAAGTACCCAACTTTATTCAGGAATGACAATTATTCATGGCTTTGATTACTAAATCCTATTCTTCTATTATCTGGGATATAGAAGGAATTCTGGTATATATGAAAGTCAGTCTTCAGTTATTTAAGGTATTCCTATTTGGGTAATAATATACTGCGTTATTGTTAGTTTCAAGTTGCTGTCATAGCTGGTAGGTATTCTTACAACTTAAAAAAGTGGGTTAATAGAAAATATGAAAACTGCCTGTAGGGTTGGCATGAATTTCTATCCTACTTTACTAGGTTTGGAGCTTGGATCTTACTTCATGGAGGAGAGTGTACACATTTTCAGTTGTGTCATAAATATAAGTATGGCTTTCGTGACACAGAAGGGGTACCTCTAATGCAGAGCCTACTTTGAGTGTGCCAAAGTGCCACCCCAAAATTATCAGTAGATGACATCATTGTCTATTAGAATTTTGCATCCTCTGGAAACTTAACATCATGTTACATTTCAGCATATGTACAAAATGAACAGCAAAGAACAAAGAAAAACTTTCAGGTGGGGTGGGACAGGGGAGAGATATATCAAATAGCTGACTACTGCTGCATTAGGGCCAATAGTGTGACTCCAAAGGGCATTTATTCCAAATTCATTTGAATTATTCCCAATGAAGATAAAAATGTTTTGGGAGGTGACAAATGGTCACACGTGACATATACCTATCTCCAACACCCATATATATCTTTATTTGGACTGTAATAGATCAATGATTACTAGATTCCTGACTATCCTTATATGATCACAGGGAGATCAGAGAGAGCAAGAAGGTATTTAACATAAGTTCCTGAACACTGAGAGAATGTTCCTCTCTGTTTTAGGCTTTCCTACTCTTACATATTCCTTCCCTTTCAGTCACTCTTCCCAAACACAGTATTGCTATATCTACAATGTATCTAATAAACAATTTATTTACCTTTAAAGTTGCCGTCTCTCAACTTTTTCTTCTCTATTTCTTTCTTCTCTACTCCACTTGCTTCTCTTTTCTTCTCTACTTTCTTCCCCCAGTGAGGGGGATTGAAGGGATGAATAGGAATAAAAGGAGAAGGGGAGGTAGAAAGAGAGGGAGAGTGAAGCATGGGGGGAAAGGAAGAAGAAATAATAGAGGAAGAAGAAACAGGACCAACTGGAGAGGGAAAATCTGAATATCTTGGAGGCAAACATGGAGAGGGAGGTGAATGCAAAAGAGAGGAAAAAAGAGGAATGGGTGAAGGATGTAGGGATGGAGAGGTAGAAGATGAAGGTGAAGGAGAGGATAGCATGGGAGAAGAAGAAAACTGTATAGAGGGTGGAGAAGATGTAGAAATAGGAGATGAAGACAAAGAAGAGGATGGAGAATGACAGGGAGGTCGATGGGAGAGAACTGAGGCAGGCGGATGGTCTATAAAGGCCTCGGGCATTTTTGACAATGTTGTGGTTTGTGGAGCAGATTTTTGGACTGACTGAAAAGGACCTAACCTAGTAGGATGTTCAGGCAATGGACTGATGTAAGAAAGAGTCGGGACCAGTGGATGAGGGGGACAATTAGGTAAACAGGAAGGCTTCAAAACAGGGGGAACTTCCAAAGGAGTTGGGGCAACAGCCAGTAGAGCTGGAAGGGAACGACGAACAAGAGCAGGAGTTAGTTTGGCTGGGAGAGAACGCTGTGCTGGAAGGAAATGTTTGGGTCTGAAAGTTTTGTAAAATAACTTGCTCTGTGAATCAGAATCAGGAATGATTGGAGAGCTTCGGAGTGGGTGGGGTAGATGGTCAGGTGGGACAGAAGGAATTGGGGCTGGTAGATGAGGGTAACTGCTAGAAATGCTGGGAGTAACTGGGGCTGGAGGACGAGGGATATATTTGATTGGGTAGGATAGTAATGGAGCTGGTAAAAAGGTCTTTGGAAGAGTAGTGGGTACAGTTGGATGGGAAGGCAGAGTATGGGGCTGGTGGGTGAGAGAAACAGTTGGATAGCTAGGAAGAATTTGGGAATGGTAGGATAGCAATGGGGCCCGGGAAGGAGACAGATGATCAGTTAAGTAAGGATCAGGTGTGGAGACAGCTGGACAGGCAGGAATGGATCTGCACAAGTGGAAAAGCATTTGGACAGGCAGGTAGAGAGACAGCCTTATTAAGATGTTTTGTTTTGTTTTGTTTTTTTGATTGCTTCTAGGCTTTTGACTCAAATTATTTTTTGTTCTGAGGGTCTATGCATGCTGTTCTGATCAACCAGTGTCCTCTCATAAGGATTGAGAAATGTACATAGCTTATTTAGGTCCCCCTTTTCTCATTCCTTGCTCTTAAGAGTCTTTTTATCTCACTGAACTCTGATAGTCATACAGATAATGAATATGGGCTAGAAGATCTGGCTTAAATTATGAAGGGCAAACAGAGGTCAAATAGACCACTGCTTAGCTCTGGAGAGATTTCTCAGGGTAATATGTGGTTCAGGATCAATTGTCTCACCACAAATACATGGATATTGGAGATAGATATCTAGCAACATCACTTTAAAATATAAACATTTAATATGGGAGAAGATACAGCTTCTTTTATCCTACATCTACCAAGAGGGTCAAATATATTATCTTTGTTGTAAGGATTTGGTTTGTAATAGAAGGCTGACTACTTATATTTTTTAATGTCAGTCCCTTACTAATATTCTTATATCTTATTATTTCCTGAAGCAGCTTCTATTTTCATATAGATATATTCTCTGATTTTTCTTGAGGCTTAAGAATTGAGTGCTTCTTTAGATTATCACATTACCAACAGCTTAAATTATTTTTACTTATCACTAATATTTTCCACAGTAGAACAATCATTTATGTGTACTGATATACCTTTTCTTTGAAAGCTGCCTGTTTCTTGGCATTACTTTATTGCTTAAGACATTTTGGTTTTATATTCCACAGAAAATGCACTTTTAATGTGGTAACAGCTTATCAATATTTACACCTTAATTATATTCTCAATAAATAGTACAATATATATTTCCCTTAACCCTAATGCCTGATCCTTAATATTCCAAGGTTTCATATTTGTATAGCATTTGACAGTTTATGAAGTATTTTCAAACACATTATTTAATACTCATCTGTGGAGAAAAATTCAACCTTTTAATAAGTAAATCACAGTGTTCTCTCTATAATTGTGTACATTTGCTGTTTTCCAAATATTTATGTGTGTATGTATGTATGTGTGTGTATATACATATATATATGTATACACACATATATATCATGAAGTCATAGTCAAAATAGTAATTTTTGAGGGTTATTGTGACCCTTTGCCTAGCTAGAAACTATGTATTCTAATTTAGAATGGAGATAAAGCAAAGATGATGTATGTTATTTGATGGGTCTAGAATAGATTTGGTATAATGATAGCTATATGCTTGTTGCTACAGGGAAATCAAAGTTTTCCTGAAGCTTTGGCTCCTGTAAGACTTTAAGGAACCATATGGTATTGAATGAAAAGTCTATCCTTTCATTCATAGTAAAAATATTTTTTTATTGAAAATATCTGATAATACAAAGGATAACAAGTAATACACAGAAAAAGAAACCTGGGAGTGAAAAAACCTGTTACAAAAATGCATGTTACTTCTATACTAAATGATTTGGAATTTTTTGTTACTCCAAATTTTGTTACTCCCTGAACCCTAAAATCCTAATTGTCTGTCACTTTCCACATATAGTCTAAAATTACATTGCCTTCACTGCATCAACTTCCATTTCTTCATTAACACACTGCTATTTTACTTTCACCTCTACCACTTCAATGTACTGCTTTTGCTAACAATTAACTATTGACCTAATATAAAAATAGATACTTCTTGACTGCTATCTTTCCTGATTTTAATTCCTTTGGTTTCCATACTAGCATGCTTTCCTACTTCTCTGGTTGTTTCTTCTCAGGATCTTTCTTAAGTCCCTCTTTCTTTGCTTGTCTTCTACATGCTGAAATTTTTGAGGGTTATGTAACCCTCTTCTTTGCTTAGCTATCCCTATTCGCTGTGTAATCTTATTCATACTGTCTGTGTGATATTATTTGTATCTGTATGTGAGTGAAGGATTAACAAAACCCATTCTTCTCTGTGGACCAATTTGACTTTGGATTAACTTTCTAAACTTGCTCCCCTGGAGTATTAGTAGGATTTGGACTGTGTTACAAGGCACATTCATTATGGTGAATATGACCCTTCACTGATAACTGCATCTGGACTGAGAAGACTGTAAATATACCATAGATAGCTGGTAGGAAGCTATGGCTTTAATAAGTAAATCATAGTGCTTCCTTGAATGTGGTAATTCTAGTAACTGGACATGACTCCTGTGTAGATCTGGAAGCCATTCACATGGAGCCATTACAAGAAATACTGATTCCTCTTTGGAACGTGAGGTTTGTAACCCAGGGGTATATGCCCACTAATTGTGGTCTCACATCCTTACAGTTAAGTTGTTAACTGGGAGAGGGGTATAGCAAAGACTGCTTTGCCGCCTGCCATGAGGATTTCTCCTATTGAAGAATGTTGCCTTTGACATGCAGTTTTCTGTCCTCTGATTGAAGCCAAATATAGCCTATTGTAGTCATGGGAATTTGATTGCTTAGCTGAATTCAAAAACAACACTGCTAGATACTGAACCATGACTTAGCCACTATCCATTTGTTGGCAATTATCAAATATATATATGTGGCCCAGATTTTTTACCATGAGAAACTGGATCTGGAATATCCCATAAATGCCTCAGACTCACAACTTATCCTCTTTATAGTCATTCCTTCCCTCAAACCCCTTCCTTAATAGTTCTTATTTTGGTAAGTTGTTTTACTATCCAGTAAATGTCCAAACTCACTCTCCAGAGTCATCCTTCACTCCTTCAATCACCTTCCAGTTCTTAAACAGTTACCAAATCATGTTGATTCTATCTCCTAAATAGTTTTTAAAAGGTTTTCATTTGCATTAACTAAAGTATCACTTTATCCTACTTTCCCACTTTCAGTTTTACCTTACTCTTTTTCATTCTGGCAATATTTCTAAAATACAAACATTGTATGCTTGCTTCAAGTCTTTTGGTGGACAAGGCTCTTCATTTAAGTCCTAGCTTCCTGTCATGTTGCCTTTTCACACACTACTTGTTCCCACTGTCTGTCCTTTTCATGTATTAAACTTCAGGTCAAGTTCATACCCTCTGAAAAGTGTTCATATATGTTAGTGATATTTATTTTCTCAAAATATTTATTGAATATCTCCAACATGCATAGCACTGAGCCAAGCACTGCAGAGAATACTTGCATGTGTAAGATTTAGTCTTGTTCTCTAGAATACCACAGTCTGGCTGGGGAGACCTAAGTACACGCAACAATTAAGCAACAACATACACAATCATGACTTTCATATCTGTCCCTATACTCTTTTACCTCTCACTATCTTTCTAAAATAATAGAAGTTTATATACTTCCTACTTAAAAACCTCTACTGCTTCTCTACTAGCTATAGGACAAAGTTCAAACTTCCCAGCTAGACATAAAAAAAATTTTGTATCTGACCTTAGCGTATGTTTCTACATCAACTCCAGTACCTATAACACATCATGCAGTCCTGCCACTCTGAACAATTTCTATTTCCTTATGGGTCTGTGTATTCATACACACTGGGAAAGCAAAAATTTCATTTGACTAGCTTTATTGTGGAGGTCTGGAACCAACCACAGTATCTCCAAGGTATGCCTGCACATACTGAAATAACCTTCTGTTCTGTCTTCTTTCAATCCATTATCCACACTTGCTCAAAATAGTTTAGAATAATATGTTAAGCTTATTCTTATTAGCCATTTGCTGAATATCCTTCACTGACTACTCTTAAACTCTCAGGATAAAGTTTATTTCTTAGCATACAGATGTATTTACCTCTTCAATCTCATAACTAGTGAAGCATTGGTATTTTGCATTCTATCATTCAGTCATACTCTTATTAGAACACATCATTCCTTGTCTGGAATACCACCTACCCACTGGTTATGACTAACTCCTATTTTCTTCAGTCTTTGCTATAAAGTCTTCTATCCCATAATGTCTTTCCTGAACTGCACTGAAGACTGAGAGGATGAATTTAATTGTTCATAGCTTAGATTGAGGAAACTACTGGCCACAGGTATTACAAATGGAATTACTTTATTAAATAATATTATGTACAGGTAAAACATTAACATAATTTATATCTGAATTATAGATGTCTTTATATAAATAAATATGTGATTATCATTACTTATTTGGTACTATTCTATACTTTTTGTAGCATTATTTCACTTCTCTCCTGGATTATACACTAGGGATTTTATTTTACAATATTATACTTTTCCATATCTCCTTTACAATGCCTGATCTAGTGATGCATGTGTTAGCTTCAAAAATATGTTTAATAAATAAATGGCAAATACAACATGTCAGAAGGTACTCTATGGTTGGTTGATACATCCTATTGCTTCCAGATGAATCATTTAAGCTAATGTGGAGAGGAACCAAGAGACACTGTAGCTTTTTCAAGACGTTCAGGATTTTCATTGAGGAAAAACCAATTTCTGTCATAAAGTTACTCATACTTAAATTTATATCACTACAATGCAACACAATTATTTCCTCTCAATAAAGATGAATAACCAATATGAATATTTAAAAATAGTTTTGATGATAGTTTCTATAGAAAATCATTCAACATAGCCAGCATTGTAATACAAATGACAACAAATTAGGATTTTACCTTGTTCTTGCAATTTATATTCTACTCTGCCTCAATTTAATCTGTGAAAATAAAATAGTAAGATCTAAAACTCAGGGGAGGAGTAACTGGTGAAAAAGCCTACAAACTAAGTAATTAGAAAGCTATTTATTACATATTAGTAATTGTACATAGTAATCACAAATTACTTACCTCCAGCTTATTGTTGGTCTGTGGGAAGAGGGAAGATTTACTTCTGATTTTGAGTTGGATTCCTGAATTTGCCTGAGTGCCTCTTCTAAAGGAGGAACTGGTTTTTGAAAAGCTAAGGGGATAATAAAGGTCAAATAGTACAGAATCACTTCATCTTCAATGATCTCTTTATATATAATTTAATTGTTCAATGATAAAATGCTACTTTAAAACTTTTGTGAAAAGAAAATATTTTTTAGAATAGTATAAGTAATTTTAAATTTAAACATCCAATTCCCCAAAGAGAAAAATGTTACCTCAAAATTCTCATCACCAATTTTAATAATATTTACCTGGAAAAAAGAAACTTTGGGAAATGCCCAGGCTCTTCATTCTGGCATGAAAACCCCATTATATTTGATATCATGTCTCACAAATTTTAACAAAATTCATAAATATTCTTATGAGGAAAAGAGGAAGATATAAAAACACCAGCTAACATTTACTGCCACTTACTGTTACAGATGTTATTTTCAAACACATTATAAGTATTAACTGATTTAATCCTCTCTATGGCCTATAATGCAGATGCTATTTGAATTTCCATTTTGTAACTGAGGAAACTGAGGCATAGAGAAGGTAAGCAACTTGTTCAAGGTAATACATTATATGGACACATATCAACATACTACTCTGCCCAATCTCGAACCCAATCCTACTTCCCGTATGTATCTACTCTCTCAAACCTTCCACCAGTACTGAACATACTCTATACTTACTACTTCTTGAAATATTCTTTTCACCTTCTTATTAGAGTTGAAACACAGCTTCTTTTAAGGATACTGTTTCTCCTGCAGCCCTCTTAAGTGGAGATGTTATTTTTCTCCCATTACCTATTACAATTAAGTTAAGGCCTGGAGATAGGGTGAGTGACTTTCTAGCTCTCTACTGACACCTCCAAACTGTCTCCCATCTTTTCTCCTTTAAAAACACCTATGTTATCAGACTTTTCCACTATTACAATGTTTATTTACCTTAAAATGTTAAGTAAAATGAGTATATTATGTATGGGTTAGTTCAAATTGAACTCTAGAGACAGTCTATTCCCTAATCAAGGGGTGATGGTTTAATATACAAGTGAAGAATGCATGATTATGAGATAGTTTGCAGGGTATTCTAACCATAAAAGACGAATCCTCTTGAGGCAGATACTATCAAGTTTTATATATTGACTTTCTACATGGCATACTCAATGTCCCAAATGGGTTCTTTTTGGTGAAAGTAATAGCCTGATGCATGTTAAAAATAGGCTTTCTTTGCGGAAATTAGAGGTATTCAAGACAAATGGATTTTGCAAAATGCATTTTAATCACTCCCTACACTTGTATGAACAGAGAATAAGAATCTAGGGAAGCCTATATACCTCATGGATGGCATCTGAGGCTAGATCTGTAATCAGTCTTGTGTCCAGCCATTAATATAGGAACATTTCTGATTGTTCAATACCAGAGGCACAGAATTCTATCTCTGGAATGTGGACCTGAGTAGATTCTAGACATATGCCTAACTTTCATGTAAGATGCAGTCAGAGCACTTAAAAGGACAGAGAGCTAGGACTTTATGGAGTTTAGTGAACATATTATATGAATTGTTTTGTGTCTCTTTTGCTAAGGAATGCCCACTCATACTGGATTATAGTCTGAGACTTGTTTTTATTAACCCTCACCACTTGTTGTCTATCAAAGGGAACTTTAACACTAACTTTAAAACTAATACAGGTCAATGTAAGCACTGATTCAAAGAGATATATGCACCCTTATGTTTTCTGCAGCATTATTTACAATAGCCAATATAGAAACAAATTAAGTGTCCATTGATAGATGAATGGATAAAAATGTCCCCCCTTCACCACACAGGAATATTACTCTGCCATAAAAAAGAATGAAATCTTGCCATTTGTGACAACATGGATGGACTTAGAGGGTTTTATGTTAAGTGAATTAAGTCAGACAGAAATACCATATAATTTTATTTATATGTAGAATCTAAAACTTAACACAAAGGAACAAACAAAACAAAATAGAAACAGAGTCATAGATGCAGGAAATAAACTCTTGGTTACCAGAGTTCAGACCTCTGAACTCGAAATCTGTCTCCATGGGTGAGACCCTTGGGTGAGCTGCCCCTAGAGATGGTGGGGACATACCTGGACTACCCCTGTGGATGGCAGGGAGGCTCCAGTGGCTGTGGCAGTGGAGGGTGCAGCTTCACCCAGGAGCCCCCTACCTGTGGGGCTTCCAATTGGGGAGCCCCTGCTGGGGAATTGGTCTAAAGCACCTCCTAGATGGGTGGGGCCTTTACTAGAATTGGGAAAGGGTAGGGACACTGGAAACTGTGGAATTAGCCCTCCATGAGATAGAAGACTGCTTAGAGGTCCTGAGTGGCTGGGTAGCAGCTGGGATTGTGTGATGTCTGTTTCTCGAGATAGTGGAAGGGGTTATCGAGGAGAGAGAGAGACTTCAACAGGAGAGAGGAGCATTGCTTGGAAGAGCTGGGCAATGACCTATGGGATGCCCTTAAGAAAGAGAGAGTTATTGAGAAGACAGGTTGTGCTCATGGAAGATATGTTAGCAGTAAAGGAGGAGGAAGCAGGAGAATCCGTGATACAGGAGGCCATGGGGGAGGGGGAGGAAAGAGTGGTGCTTTCAGCCCCAGACATGGTGGAGATAACAGGAGAAGATGAGTGGGTGGGGCAGAGGGTCGATCTGCTGCCAGGGCCACTGCCTGAGGCACCAGCTTCTCCCGTATTAAAGGCCCGCCTGGTTGTAATTAAGAAAATAAATTGCAACAACCCCGGACCCCTCAGGGGGAGGAGCTGCCCCCTCCCCAGGTTGTGGAGCCCTCTATGCTCTGCCCCTATACCCAGGATGAGCTGGTGGACATGAGCATCCAGTTTTGGCAGAAGCCATCAGAACCTCTGCCAACGTGGCTTTTGCATTTCTGGGATATGGGGGTGGAAAACATTGTTATTTCAGGTTCTGAAATGGGTAGATTGGCTTCCCTGATGACTAACACTTCCCTCCAGCAGCAGTTGCAAAGTGTCTGTCACACCTCAGGGAACTGGGTACTTCTGGATTGGCTGACAACAGCCATCAGGGCAGTTTGGCCTAATCAGGGTGATTTACCATACTTACCCAGTAGCTCGAAAGTGTATACAGACCTCCAGCAGGTGTTATGGGAGCTGGTCATGAAAAATATCAATTATAATATGGACCCCCAGGACCCTGATGAGTTGTTATTCATCCTAGGAATGAGAAATCTGGTGCTCCATACAGCTCTGCCATTTCTCTTTGGGTCCCTAGTAACTATTCTTAGCCCCCATATAGGGCAACCCATAGTGAGGCTACTCATACTTTGGAGGTTGAAACAATAAGAGGATGGAAGGATGTATAGGCTGCAAATGACAGGAGAGGTACAAAGGGCCTGCAAAGGTCTCAAGGACCCAGATGTGGGTTGATTAATAAAGGCTGGGGTAGTGAAAGAAAAACTTGATGGGAAGCCCAATAGAATCTTGTTCGAACTGTGGCACCGATTAAAGCCAGAGCAGCAGTTCCAGCCACTGAGGTCCAGGACATGGAAGCCGGAGGTAAAGCCCCATGTCTGGCCTGTGTCCCTGCAAGACTTCTAGGGGAAGAGTACTCAGGATCCACCCTGGCACTTGCCTCCACAGGAGGATGATTGGGCATTGCTGTTTGACTAGGGGTGGGGGGTGGATGGTGGAGGTGTTAAGACCCCACCTTGTGGGGCATGGGGACCAGAGGCCACCTGTAGAATTAGTAATTCATTGGTCCTTTGTGAATGTACAATGTGCCCTGGTGCTGGTGGACACAGGAGCTGAATGTTCTCTGATTTATGGCAACCCTAAGCATTTTCCTAGGACCCTGCTGTGACAGATGGCTATGGGGTAAGGCAAATAGAATAAAGAAAGCCTAAATCCCACTGGGGATAGGGTGTTTACCCCCAAAGGAGTATACTGTATACATTTCTCCCATTCCTGAATATATTTTGGAGGTGGATATCCTGCAGGGCTTGTGGTCACACACTACTGCAGGTGAGTACAGCCTGAGGGTATGTGTACTAAAGGCAGTTCTGTGGGGACATGGCACAGTACCCACCTGTAGCTCTGCCTGTATCCTGGTGGGTGACAAATACTAAGCAGTATAAATTGCCTGGGGGACACAAGAAAATTGGAGAAAGTCGGAGTTGGAGAAGGTGGGCATCATAAAGTCCACTCATAGTCCTTTTAATTTCCCAGTGTGACCAGTGAAAAGCCAGACAGCAGCTCTCACATGACTGTGGACTACAAGGAATTGAATAAGGTTACACTCCCTTTGTCTGTTGTCTCTTCTATAGCAGCCCTTATGGAAACCCTCAGTCATGAACTAGGGACATATCATTATGTTACGTACTTTGCTAATACTTTCACCTCTATTGACATAGCACAGGAAATTCAGGAACAGTTTGTTTTCATGTGTGAAGGCTGGCAGTGGACATTCACTGTCCTTCCACAGTCCCATCATTTGTCATGGACTTTATAGCCCAGGACTTGACCACATGGAAGAAACCACAAACTGTGCAGCTGTATCACTACATTGATGATATCATGCTCACATATGATTCTCTTGCAGATTTAGAAGGGGCAGTTCCTAGACTGCTGCAACATCTACAGGAGAAAGGATGGGCTGTGAATAGCACCAAGGTTCAGGGACCTGGTTTGTCTGTAAAATTCTTGGGGGTTGTCTGGTTGGGTAAAACTAAAGTTATCCCAGAAGCAGTCATGGACAAGCTTTCCCTACTCCTACCACTGCGGCAGTATTACAAGAATTTTTAGGTCTTTTGGGCTACTGGAGAGTGTTTATTCCACGCTTGGCACAAATTCTGAAGCCCATATACCAGTTGGTATGAAAGGGCATCAGGTGGAACTGGGATGAAACATGTGCAGCTGGTTTTACTGCTGTTGAGCGAACAGTCAAGGCTGTACAGGCCTTGAATGTAATGGACTCCTCAAGGCCCTGTGAGCTAGATGTTCATGTAACTGAAGATGGTTATAGATGGGGCCTTTGGCAGCAGCTT